ACAGGAAAATGACACCTATCGGTGCATGAGGACCCGTGTATCTTTGAGAAATATGCCTAAAAAGAAGTAATCGAGGCGCTCTGTGGCGCCGTGCGCTCTGTCATGCGTCCTCTTGCTCATCTTGCACGTGGTGCGGCAGCGCAACGGCTGTTCGTGCACCACCCAATCTATTTGGGGGATATGGGGAGCACGGAAATGACAACTGTCGCCACTCTCATCAATCTTTATACTTAATCTTTATTGCTATTGAATAATAATCATAGGAACGATTTTTGTAGATTAGAACACTTGAAGAGGTTAGGGACTGAAGAGCTTCATTTGAATTACTCGTCCAGAACTGGAAAGTCAACAATCCGCCATTGTTCTTCAACCTGAATTTTTCATAGTTCTTTCGCCATTCTCAACCTGCCACTATTGTTTGACAACATCAATAAAAATATTGTGTTCTTTAGTCTTGTCGTCATCAACACGCTTCTTTCAACAACACACAAAAGGAACACACACGAAAAAAGGAAAACATTCACACTTTTAAGGAGATGTCAATGTTAGGAGTAAGTGAACGGCATTCGATTGCTCGCAAGGTCTACTCGTTAGCGATCCTGGACTTTTTTCCTGATATCGAGAGGGTCAAACGCTATTTTACACCCTGACTGAGTCGCCCATATAAATTCAGTAAGAAAGTCCATCAGCCTTATCCACGGAAATGGTAAAAGAGCTGAGATTATTGGGCAGAGTCGGATTTAGGCAGTTTTCAGATGCTATTGGAGATGGGTAGGGCGGAGTCAACCACTGTTTCAATGTGACTATGTTGAAATACATTGCTTTCAATCGGTATCGATGTCTAAATTTACCCGACAAAAATACGGTAAGGTTGAAGGCTTAGAGCTTTTTAAGCTTGTGGCGTCGACCAATCGCTTCCTGGGATGCGCCATGCATCCTTCCTCCATTCAGAGAGGTAGACATTCAAATGCAGTATGGCTAAGTGACTTACAGGGCCAACAAAATAAAGACAGTGACTTTATGCTCTCAACCAAGTCTGTACCATTGACTAATCCCAGACGAATAGAACGTTTGGTTGATACAGTCGAAATCTGATCCGAAGTTTGATCATCGGACCGTGCGCTTGGAAAATGACCTCTTGCCACTACATCACCTCCGACCAAATGACGGTAATGGACATGGAATTGTTACAATGATGACGGACTACAGTCCATGCTTAGACTATCAAACGGCTTTCATTGGAGATGAGGATTTTCTTGACGATGGCAAAAACATTTCGCAGCAACTTCGTATTATATGTTTTTTCCTGATCATCATTTTAGTCATTAATGACCACAGAAATCAGGAACGAGCACATCTTCTTCTGTTGACAGTAAGGTAAAAAATTATTCTGTAGATACAATATTTCACCTTATAGAGAGGGAATATTCCTCTCTTCCCCGATCTCTTATTGAATCCCACCGCATATCCATCATGTTGATTCTTTCGCACACTAATCAAATCTCCTACTCGTAGGCTAATTTCAGTATCATCCTGTGCGGAGTGACTTTCGATAGCGATGTGATCGTTCTCTGAAACTAGCCATTTTAATGAAAGTCGAGCTCACATTGAAATGTTCAAAGGTATCCTTCTTGATGCGTCTGATGGAGTATTGGAGCGCTTAAAGCATCACTGGAATAGTTTGGCTATATTCCACCGTGTGTCGCTAAACGCTGTACATAAATGGTTAGAAGCCTTTTCCTTTGCAAATAGGATAGTCATCAGTTATTGCTATTTAATGGCAGATCTTTCAGCTATTCTCACAACATTGTGCTTCTCAATGCTTTATCTTTAGGTATGCTTACATTCTCGAGGTTCGAAGCCAGCGTCGTCAGCATAAAAAGAGGGACGAGCCAAGGATGGGGTCAGTTTCGTGCCGTGTCGTGCAAGACCGCGAGCCTGTCAAGACCCGTAAACATGAGGACCTTGCCCACTGTGGATTCATCCGACTGAGCCGCTGGAACAATGATCCTCCAGACGGTGCAGTCGCTGACGGATTCAAGGAATTTAAAATAAAAGATCTAATATTCTTGTAAATTCAGAAGCGTGGCCAGTGACTTGTGTCACTGAAGGGCGAGCAAGAACAGGCAAGATCAAGAAACGGGTTAAGAAACCGACACTATACCGTGAGCTCTACCTTGTTCACTAGGGTACAGCGCATATGTTCACGACCGTCCACGGCTGCCTAAAGTGGCGCCGTGTTGCATTAACCCATAAAAAATTTTTTCCTTTGACGAGCTCGCTCCAGACCGCTGATCATATTTCGAGGGTTGACTTAACTGTCCGCCAGGGTGATAAGAGTCGAAAAAATTCTCGAGCATGGCTCTACCGAACGGTTGTGAGAAGTATCGCCGAGAGTGAACGTGCGCGCAGAGCACAGACGGATCCGCGTCTGCAGACGAGTGGTGATTGTGCATTGCGGATGAGCGTAATTGACCAGGCAATATCCTCGACAGCCGTTAGAAGAAGTTCTCCGGACCGATACTCCCTCGCTGACGGTCGTTATCTGACAGCTGGTGACACATTGGTAGAGCTAAATGGCTTTAACTATGCCATTGCGGCGTGCACCTGTCTTCAGTTGCTAGCATACCTGGCTCCGTCCTTGGCTCTCAACGCGGCTTCCCCCTCTTACTGCACGAGCTTTCCCTATGTACTAGCCACGATCGACACCAAAAAAAGTTCCACTGTTTTGCTTTTCCCCGTGAATTGCGTCCTTCGTCGCGCGAGATAAGCGTTTTGGAACAGAGTGAACACTTGAGAAAGGCGTGACTTACAACGTTGTGCCGGCAGAGTGACGCTCGCAAGACGACTTTTCTCCGTGCATTCTGAAAGTCACGCCCAACAACAGACACTAATCTTCCTTCGATGCGGGGCAGCAATCCAAGGATGGTCCGGGCGGCGCACGACGCGTCGGTCGGCGGGTTCGCGCCGGAGTGTTGCCCGCGGCTAGCGTGTGTCATCCTCGTAACATCCTTATATTGAACGGCGGCTTAGACAGTCTGACGAGTTTTGCTCGACGGGCTCTCCCTTCGTTGAAAGCCCAGAGAAAACGAGGGCGAGCGCACGTTTGAACGCGTTAGTGCGTCGCGCATTGTACGTGACTACGCGAAACAATATAATTCACGCCTTACTTCAGAAGCTCGCTCTGTCTAAACGGCTTATCTCTCTTCACACTTCTTGTCTATTTTTCGGTCAAAATATCACCCCAATTCGATCGCGACTGGTGAAATCAAACAGAAGAGCTTCATAGATTTGAAACCGTGTGCGTACAAGAAGTATATGATGTTTTGCCGCTCAGCCAAGCTACACCCTTCTGAAAATCCAGACCTATATTCCAACGCTAAAACTGCGATGCCGCACCGCTGCCTTGCACTAAAATTATAGGTCGACGGTAAGAGGAAAGCACATTCCGCTGGTGCATATTCACTAGATCGCCGATACCATTCGATTATTGCCTAAACAGGTCAAGATGAACATGCACTTTGCTTTCACTCATTCTCTCTTCTAGCAAGTTCTCTGTTGTGGGTGGACTGCAAGTATTATCGACATCTTGCTAAGTGACCCATTGAGATTACCACAACGAAGGCTCTCGAACTCAATCATGATCTGCTTCTAGCACCGGATATTACTTGGGAAATCGACGGGTCAAATATGTGGCGGTTGAAGGGTTGCCAGCCTAACATGACTGTTGGATAATAGTAGTCGTGATAGGGCTTAACGTATCGTCCATGCCGAAGATAGTAGTCTTCAGCAAAAATGTAGATTTTCTTCTGGCAGCATTCCACGTCTGACTTGCAATGAAGCTCGTACGCCCAAAACGGCATTAACTAAGAGAACCAATTGAAAAAGAATAAATAACTGAATGTCATTTGAAGCACGATGCAGAAATGCGTACGTGGCTAGAGAACGTGCAAACGAGGTAGTCGCATTTGCTGAGCATCATCACATCACTCAGAAGTCCGCTGAGCGATCGCTCATTGTAACGACTCTTGGCGGCTTCGGCGAAGTGGACATTGCCGTATACCTCATAGTTTGGGTACCTAAAGAGAGATTGGTGAAAAGATGGCAGGTCAGGCGCCGCGCTTACCGCGAAGGTCTTTCAGGTCGTGTTGGAGTACTCCACATTGATGGTCTACTGAGTTCTGGTACTTGAGGTAGGGCAATTGAAGTTCTAACCATGAGTACCACTTTAGGACGTGCAAGCGCCAATCAAAAATGCGCACCCTTTTGCAATGAGGAAGCGGACCCATTTTTTCGTTTTTTTTTTTCGGGCTCAAAGGGCCGCTCAGTAAGAAATGAAGAACGACGTGAAGGGCCATGAACAGCTTCATTTTGAATGCACGTTATACTCAAGTAATGGCCGAAAGAACGTTTTCTTGAAACAGAGTAGCATTGGACCGTGCAACGATCTTCCTATTGGAAGGCTAAGATAAAAAACAAAATCACCGACATTTTCTTGATTTGAGGCAGGACCCTTGAGTCGTCGGACGCTACGTACACACGACGCGTGACATTGGTCTTTAAGAGTCGATCTTGAATCTGCAGTGAATAACAAGTTATTTTGTCTGAAAACTGGGAATAAGGGATTAGTGGTGACAGCATAGATCCAGTTACTGCACAGGATTCTGTATGAAAAGACATCATCGCACCTTTTAACACTCAGAAAGTGCACGCACTGACGGGATTGCCTAAAGTGTGAAACTTTGCATACCTGAAAGTAGATGTCTGCCCATGTCATGTATTCCTCTACCGTATGAAATTTCGCTTCCTTCAATAGCTTGTCATCTCGACGTACATGTACCCCGACGATTGGGCCTGAGATCGCGGCAGTTATAAATAATACAGAACAGGTGGTATAAATTTGATCTATTATCTGGGACGGTAGTAATCTACCCCAAACTGGCTGCTAAGAATAACAGATCATATGCCCGTAACGAGAAAGAACGATTTTGAAGTTGGAAGGTAACCAGATCTGAAACGCGCAACTTCGCGACATCGTAAGCAAAACTTCGTCCCTCCACGAGACCGAACCCAGGCCATGCGCAGGTGAACCGTTTCACTGCACCACCGGGCAATAGCGCACCCTTCTGGGGGTCACTGATCACATTAAGATGGCTCAGGGTGTTTGCAAAAAACTCGCGCCGAGCGGTATCAATCTGCCTACTTTGCCGGTGACGGCGTAGAGGCCTGGCACTGCGCCATACGGTGTGCACTGGCGAAAAGTGGAAACATGTCTTGAACTCCAAGCGGTGTAGATCTAGCACCCTTGCCAGCGGCAGCATGGAACGCTCCTATTGAGCCATTGGTATTGAACTGAGGCGATCCCAAAAAACTATTGAGGGGCCTACTAGGTGATCTCCCAGTAGCTTCCTGTGCTTTCTTTCAGCACGCTCATCGGAATGGATTCATTTTTTCGACTATCGATACCACTCACAATAAGTCGTAGAAGGTACCTCCAATTTGGTAGAAACTTACTGGCAGAAAAAGGAATTTTCGACGATTGCGAATTTACGGCTTTTTCAACACCAGGCTGCATCCTCAATACATACCAGACAAACTGAAACAGGTCCTCTGATGGACAAGAAAACGGTACGGCATGGTAGCGATGCCTTTTCAGAGCATTGTGGCTCGTTCTAAAGCGTACACCTCTGTAACCTCCCTTCAAAAAGCGAGAAAGTGTCGGGTGCAGACCAAACACCACAACTGACGACGGCCTCCAAGTAAATCTGGTTAGAAGTTGTTCATAGTGATAGCTGATTTTGGTAAATGATAGTTGTAATTAGTGACAATCGATAGAATACAACTGCAACAGGCTAATCATTTCATTGGCAGAAAACATTCAACATTT